ATCAGAACAGTAGCTAAAATCTAGAATTATCAGAACAGTAGCTAAAATCTAGATTTATCAGAGCAGTAGCTAAAAGCTAAAATTAGCATGGCAGTAGGAAAAAACTTGGCAGAACAGTAGCTAAAAGCTGGAATTAACAGAACAGTAGCTAAAAGCTGGAATTAACAGAACAGTAACTAAAAGCTAAAATAAGCATAGCAGTAGGAATAATCGTCAATTAGCAGAACAATAGCTAAAAGCTAGATTTACCTGAAAAGTAGTTAAAAGCTAAAAGAAGCTTAGCAGTAGGAAAAATCTTCAAAAGGTAGAACAGTAGCTAAGAGCTAGAATTATCATAACAGTAGCTAAAATCTAGAATTATCATAACAGTAGCTAAAATCTAGAATTTTCAGAACTGTAGCTGAAAGCTAGAATTATCAGAACTGTAGCTAAAAGCTAAAATTAGCATGGCAGTAGGAAAAAACTTGGCAGAACAGTAGCTAAAAGCTGGAATTAACAGGACAGTAGCTAAAAGCTAAAATAAGCTTAGCAGTAGGAATAAGCATCAACTAGCAGAACAATAGTTAAATGCTAGATTTACCAGAAAAATAGTTAAAAGCTAAAAGAAACATAGCAGTAGGAAAAATCTTCAAATGGCAGAACAGTAGCTAAAAGCTAGAACTATCAGAACAGTAGCTAAAAGCTAGAACTATCAGAACAGTAGCTAAAAGCTAGAACTATCAGAACAGTAGTTAAAAACTAAAAGAAGCATAGTAGTAGAAAAAAATCTTCAAAAGGCAGAAGCTAAAAGCTAGAATTATCAGAACAGTAGCTAAAATCTAGAATTATCAGAACAGTAGCTAAAAGCTAGAATTATCAGAACGGTAGCTAAAAGCTAAAATTAGCATGGCAGTAGGAAAAAACTTGGCAGAACAGTAGCTAAAAGCTGGAATTAACAGAACAGTAGCTAAAAGCTAAAATAAGAATAGCGGTAGGAAAAAGCTCAAATTGACAGAACAGTAACTAAAAGCTAAAATTATTAGAACAGCAGTTAAAAGCTAAAATAAGTTTAGCAGTAGGAAAAATCTTCAAAAGGCAGAACAGTAGCTAAAATCTAGAATTATCAGAACAGTAGCTAAAATCTAGAATCAGAACAGTAGCTAAAATCTAGAATTATCAGAACAGAAGCTAAAAACTAGAATTATCAGAACAGTAGCTAAATTCTAGAATTATCAGAACAGTAGCTAAAAGCTAGAATTATCAGAACAGTAGCTAAAAGCTAGAATTATCAGAACAGTAGCTAAAAACTAGAATTATCAGAACAGTAGCTAAATTCTAGAATTATCAGAACAGTAGCTAAAATCTAGAATTATCAGAACAGTAGCTAAAAGCTAAAATTAGCATAGCAGTAGGAAAAAACTTCAGCTGGCAGAACAGTAGCTAAAAGGTAGAATTGACAGAACAGTAGCTAAAAGCTAAAATAAGCATAGCAGTAGGAAAAATCTTCAAATGGCAGAACAGTAGCTAAAAGCTAGAATTATCAGAACAATAGCTAAAAGCTAAAATAATAATAGCGGTAACAAAAAGCTCCAATTGATAGAACAGTAGCTAAAAGCTAATCAGAAGTTAGTTAAAGGTGGGCTACTTTTCCTGTGAGTACGAAATCAAAACCTGACAGATAAAAATGACTGTTGGCTCAAGTTTCTCCTACTGTCCATTCTTAAAACTCTTTTTTTTTCCACAAGCCAGCCAAACAGACCTCGCCTCGGAGGACTGCGAGAAAAAATAAGCACGACACGTTATTTTTGTCCACATGAGGCCCCGGCCAAGCGCCAATTAGTGGTGGAGCAGCGTTTTAGCTCATATGATTAATGAGGATTTTAGTGTTTGGGTGGTTATCGTGCTGTAAATGATACTGGAAGGCCAGTAGCTGTGTTGGGCAGCTGGATTAATGAAACCACTGTTCAGATATTCTCCTGGGTGCACGTGAAGCTGACTGAATGGGCGAAAATATGAAATAAATGACGAGGTAATTGCACCAGATATTTGGATTATTGCATTTCCAAAATGAAAGGTATTTTCTAACAGATAAAGCTAATATCTGGGTAGTTAGCACCAGATATTTTGACATTCTTTTTCTGTAACATAATAATAAATAAGATGAGAAAATATTTATTTTTAAATGTCGCCTTCTAGTTTTTACCACACAATCATGGCTGCAGTGTGGCCTTCAGCTTGTAGTCTTCATCGCGAGTCCTCCATCCAAGGCTTGGTTAACTATAGATGGGACAAAAACGTTTTCTCATGTCTGCCCTCTGGTGTTTTCAGACCAACAGGAAGCACCTCAGAGGTTGTGCGATGTGTTAAATCCTGCCAACAGCAYGACACCAGCTGCGCTCTGGACCCCACCCACATCATCACCTCGACCGTCCTCTCCCTGCCAACTCTGAGAGATTTGCACCAACCGGAAGGTAAAAAAACAATCCAAGAAAATCTCTTCTTTTTATTATTATTTATTGAATTCATTTGTTTCTTCAAACAGAAATAGTTTTACTGAGGACGGCAACTAAAATATCTCCTGCYCCAAACCAGCCTGACGTTCGCTTTGACTTCATGGCTTCGAAAAAACAAGAATGTTTCGAGTTGATAAAAACGTTCCAGAATGGAATGATTGTAGGTAAGAGGACTGCGTTTTAGTCTAAAACTGATTTTACCAGATTCACAAAAAAAAAAAAAAAAAAAAAACAGCACATTTACCTAAAACTCTTTGTCTCGTTTGCTCCAGGTGTAATCCGGCAGGTGAAACCTATCGTGGGCCCCAGTGAGCTGGTGCTGAARGTCACCATGAAGTACGTCCAGTTAGGTATCGTCTTACAACAAAACATCGTCGTCATCCACGTCCTGATCTCTGAATTCTGGTTCTGAGAGAAGAAAAGACCTGGTACAAATACTTAATGCAGCCTGGTACAAATACTTAATGCAGCCTGGTACAAATACTTAATGGAGCCTGGAACAAATACATAATGTAGCCTGGTACAAATACATAATGTAGCCTGGTACAAATTCTTAATGTAACCTGGTACAAATACTTAATGTAGCCTGGTACAAATAC